ACATCTCATGTGCATTGATCTTCCCCAATATTTGAGTTGGTGTAGCGATGGAAAGATCACCTTGATGAAGCACCATCACAATATGCCCATACTTGTCAATGGGGAGGACACTCAAGATCTTTCTCACAACATCGGATGGTTGCATTTGTGTGAGTCCAAGCCCATTGACTTTCTTTACAAGAACATTCAAGCGTGAATACATCTTATTGGCACTTTCTCTAGGAAGCATCTCAAATGAATTAAGCTTTTTCATCACAAGGTGATAGTGTTCCTCACGCTTACTCTTGGTTCCCTCATGGAGCGCACAAATGTTCGACTATAGTGCATGGGTGTCTTTGTGGTTTCGCACACGGTTAAAGACATCCTTGCAAAGACCTCTAAAGAGGGAGTTTCTAGCCTTTGCATTCCACTTCTCGCAGTTAACCTCATCACCTTAAAGGTTGGTGGGATCCTTAGGTTTTGGAAGCCTTGTGAGGCAGCTCTAAGAACTCCAACATCCAAAGCCTCTAGGTATGCCTCCATGCGAATTTTTCAATAAGGAAAATCATCTCCCTCAAAGATAGGAGGGGGTCCATCCCCGTGGAACATCTTGCTCTAGGCGGTTAAGCCTAATTTAGGGAGCACGAGGCTCCAATACCAATTGAAAGGATCAAGATGCCCAAGAGGGGGTGAATTGGGCTAATTCTAAATTTTTACAATAATTAAGCCCTACACTTAGCCCATTTCACCCCTTGTGCTTAGAATGTATTTCTATTTTTCTACCGCACAAAAGTTTTGCACCCTAGGTTCCAATCCTACTCTAGTGTGGCAATTCTAGGAATGTAAAGGCATAAAATGAATTACACAAATGTAAATGCTCAAAGTAAAGAGAGGGAAAAGAACACGGCAATGTTTTCCCGATGTATCGGAGAGTCACCACTCCCCACTAGTCCTCGTTGGAGCACCCGCGCAAGGGTGTAGCTCCCCCTTGATCCGCGCAAGGATCAAGTGTTCTCTACGGGCTGATTCTTTGACACTCCGTCACGGTGAATCACCCACAACCGCTCACAACATGACTTGGGTCATCCACAAGCTCCGTCGGATGATCACCAAGCTCCCAATCACCACTGAGCGGTCTAGGTGATGACGATCACCAAGAGTAACAAGCACAAACTCTCACTTGACTAAGACAAGCCTAATGAGATAGGTGGATGCACACTTGCTACTCCCTATGCACTAATGAGGTCCTTAGTCTTAGATTATCAAATCTCAATTACCCCACTAAGCTCTTGCTCTCCCTTGCACTCCAAATGTGTTTCTCAGCTGAACAAATGAGCAAGAGACCTCCCATAGACGAGTGGGATAAGTATTTATACCTCCTCATTCAAAGCATAACGGTTGAAGGCCAACTCAACAAGTATCGGGGTGACCGGACGCTCCGGTCAGTAGTACACGTCACTGTGTCAGAGAGAGCCATTAGCTCTGACCAGACTCTGACCTGCGTCCGGTCAGCACCCACCTGACGCGTCCGGTCAGCAAAATGCCCCTCTGGATGCTCTCTGATGTTGATCGGACGCAGGCACCCTAGCGTCCGATCATGTACTATTCAGCGTCCGGTCAGTACATAACTGTAGCTGCTGATCAAATGAACTGACCGGACTCTTCAAGCTGCGTCTGGTCACAACCAAATTAGCGTCTGGTCAGTCATTTGACCATCCATTCACTTCCAATTCAAAATCCTTCGTGAATGAAGTTGACTTCTATCAATCTTAGGGCAATTCCTAAGCTACCTAGTGCTAAGTTTGACACATGTGCACCACACCTAATCTATTAGACTCATCTAGGTCAAGCTACTAGTCCATACCCACCTTAATAGTATGGCCAAAGGAAAAATAAAGTCCTAAACTACTCTTAGTGTCTCTCCAACGCCAAACGACACTTAGAACTAGTCCCTCTGGACTCTGACCTACGTCTGGTCAGCAAAATGCTGCCCCTCTGGATGCTCTCTGATGTTGATCGGACGCAGGCACCCTAGCGTCCGATCATGTACTATTCAGCGTCCGGTCAGTACATGACTGTAGCTGCTGATCAAATGAACTAACCGGACTCTTCAAGGTGCGTCCGGTCACAACCAAACCAGCGTTCGGTCAGTCATTTGACCCTCCATTCACTTCCAATTCGAAATCCTTCATGAATGAAATTGACTTCTATCGATCTTAGGGCTATTCCTGAGCTACCTAGTGCTAAGTTTGATACGTGTGCACCACACCTAACCCATTAGACTCACCTAGGTCAAGCTACTAGTCCATACCCCCCCTTAATAGTATGGCCAAAGGAAAAATAAAGTTATAAACTACTCTAAGTGTCTCTCCAACGCCAAACGACACTTAGAACTAGTCCGTCCTTAACCTTGTCGTCCATCCTTTGAAAACCGAAATGATTTCCATCGACAGGGACATGACAACCATGATTACCCAATCAATTTCCATTACCATGACTTAACTCAAATTGCCTATGTAAAACACACGTTAGTCATAGTAATCTCGTGTCGTCATTAATCACCGAAACCCAACTAGGGGCCTAGATGCTTTCAGCCCCCATAAGTCACGCAATTTTTCACGCAAAGTACATGCGTGAGCAGATGCGGTCGACCTCAGGCCTCGCTTGTAGCTGCGTTGACCACTCCACCCCCAAAGTCACTTGTGACTAAAGGCTAAGTACAATCTTTTGGTATTCACTTTGCTAGATTTTCAAATGAGTTTTTGACACCCTAAACGAATTCAAATGAAAAATGTTACAACTAGAAAGTTATAGATATTGTCGAGTATTACTACTTTGGTTTTAATCGTTTCTTCATGCGAGATCTTTTGAAAATTTTGGATTCAAAATCTGAGAAATTCCAACAGAATTTTACTTAGATATAAATGATTTCAAAAAAAAGTATTCAACTACAAGTTTGTATAGCTCTTCGAGATCTATAATTTTGGTTTTTGTCATTTCTCCATCGGAGGTCGTTTCCAAATTTCAACTTCAAAATGTGAGCATTTAAAACTGAGTTTTGGGACCATAGATTATTTCAAATGAAAAGCTATCAACTGTAATATTTTAGATTTTCTTGAAATCTATAACTTTAGTTTTGATCATTTCTCCACCTGAGATCATTTGAAAAAAAATAAAAAAAAGTGAATTTCAAAATAGGAGAACTTCAAACAAAATTTTCTGGATATAAATGATTTCAAATGAAAAAGTTGTCAAATACAAAGTTGTAAATCTCTTCTGGATGTACAACTTAAGTTTGTCTTCTTCCAACTTCATTTAAAAAAAGTTATAAATTTTATTGCACCTACTCCCTTCATTCCAAATTATAAGACCTTCTCGGTTTTCTACATACATGGTAAAAGTTATGTATCTAAACATAATGTATATCTAAGTGCATAGCAAAATCCGTGTATCTAGAAAAATCAGAACGACTTATAATTTGAAATAGAGGGACTATTTTTAGAGACGGCTCTAGATCTAGCTGCCTGTATAAATCGATTTGTAAAGACAGCTCTAGAAATCTATTTTTAGAGACGACCGGACCTATAGCCGCCTCTAAAGGTAGAAGCATTTTTTGAGGCAGCTGAAAATACTAGCTGCTTTGAAAAAACTGATTTCTAAAGGCGGCTCATTTTAGAAACTATTTTTAGAGAGAAATTTTGATTAAGTCGTCTCTAAAAAAGAGCTTTGCCGCTAAAAATGTCTTTTTTAGTGATACAGAAAATTCAACATCTTAAATGTCGTGCCGTAGACTGCGACAAATGTTTGTACCATTGCATTAACTGTAGAGGGTACTTTAGGATCTAGGATCCATTTTTAGATAAAATATAAATTATTTGTTGTTTGCATAAAATATATACTATAAGCATTAAACTTTTAACTTAACACACAATATACCCGCAAAAAAAACTTATAACACAATAAATTGCAATAACTAATAAGAACACCCGTACCATCAGGTGGACATGGCCACGTCGCTAACGCTGTGTACAGCCGAACCATCTTTTGCGAGAAATATTGATGCACTAATAATCATTCTCATCAGCAGCAGGGGTGGATCAATTATATTAACAGCTGATTCAATACATAAAGTAGCATATCATTTACTCTTATTTATCAACCAAATTAACTTTTAAAAAACAGCCACTTGGCTAACCATTTGATCAGGGGCCCAAGCCCAGTTAATCATAACCCAAAATCAATAACAAACCATCCTGTACTTGTTACTTCATTTCAGCTCACCAATTCGTAACACATGAATATATAGACGATCATCGCGTGCCCGTGCTGCCACAGATGGAGCCTCGCCTAGAGCATGAACGGGGCAGCACGCGAGGTCATGAAACAGTCAAAGATGAGAGGGTTTCACAATGCTTACCTGGATTTTATGCTTTTTTTATAAGACTGCTTACATGGATTGTGCGCCAGCTTCAAAAGATGACATCTATATTTCAGTAATACATACGCAGCACAGAGAAGGTTTACTTACTTTGCTATCAAGCAAATCAACGAATAACTGTATCATTGACACACAAACCAAACCAGCAACAGCTAATTCAAATCACTTACTGTATCTAATGACAATCGACACAAGCACACTACACTAGTAAACTATCAACACACAATGGGTTTTACTTACAACAAAACTAGCTACAAGCTACGTACAAGGAGAACCAGCAGTCCAACACGCACTAGGAAGATCTAGTGCTCTAGAGTCACACGCAATCGTATATTCACTTACGCCTGTATTGTCAGCAGTCTAATGCTGGTGCTCACTTCATGTTGCAGCAACTGCACGGTCCTATTTGTATGATAGAGGGCCAGATCTCGACACTGCGAATCTCTGAAGCGAGCCAGCACCATGGCTGCTCCCGGAGCTTGAGCCCTCGACGAACTTCACCTTCCTGCTCGCACTGAAGTCGAGAGGTCCGGAGCGTCTCATGCTCCGCAGCTGTCCGGTCCTCCTATCCGCATCGTAGCCATCATCGTGCTGGGACCCCGACGAGCTGTAGTAGCTTGGCTCGAAGGTGTGAGACCTGGGAGTTGTCTCCGGTCGATTTTGCCTTGTGGACGGGGACGTGCGCTAGAGAGATCAGAGGTGACTGCCTTGGGGATTGCTCCATCGGTTCCGAGGCCATCAGTGAGGCTCCGTATAGCTGGTGGTATATTGAGCGCAGGATGGTGTATGGTATGTGAACTTCTAAGGTGCTCCTTGGGAGGTAGGGGGACAGCTCGCAGAGTTGATCCAGGAATATCAGCTTTGGAACGATGTGTGGCCTGCATTTAGTGTCATGTAAAAGCCAGCAAACAAACTATAAAACCTTGCCAACCAAAATCCAAAAAATGCAGTGTGCACCAGGTCAATCCAGTACCTTCTAGTGTCGTTCCATGAATCCAGGACGATCCCTGCAGACAATTTGACATAGATCTGCATAGAAGATTTAATATTCGCTTCTGCTGAGACACGGCTTGGTAACTCAGCCTCTTGCAGCTCATCTGTATGCCCATTTGAAAGAGAATTTATTCGCTGCTCCCTTTCGACCCTAGTGTATTCGCTTCCCCCAACCACAGCACTTACACACCTGCACAAATACAAGAGATGGATTTGATTCGGTCACCTGTACCTTATTCCTAATAGTATCCTTTTTATCCATCAACTGTGTAATAGAAACTTTCAAATAAAAGTATCTATAATGTAGAATGTGAACACTAGGAGGATTTTAGGAAATCAATAGTCAATATAATAGTGAGAGACTAGTCTCATGAGAATAGCTACAATCAAAGGTAAGAGGCTTTGTCTATCATGGATACCGGTGACTAACAAATGTTGACATCAAACATAGACTTGCACCAGTCAAACATTATTATAGGAAACAAGTCCTTACCTTGCTAGGCAGTGCAAATTGTTATTGAATCCACCTATACTGACATCATAAACAGCACCATTCCAAATGTTGGACACCATAAATGCAGCACAAAGGTATGGAAGTAGGATCCAAGAATTATCATTAGCTGCAACAGCTTCGGCCAGAATTGAGTGTACCCACTCAGCATCATGTTTGTCACCAACACCAACACTGCTTGCAACCTTTCTCAATCTAATTATCTCATTTTTATCAGGTACCTCGTCTGGCAACTGCAAGGCTAATCCTTTGAGCAGAGAATATATGAGAGGTACTTTCTCTTCAAGGACTGCTCCAACAGCCTCAACCAACAGTCGACGGAAAGTTATTGCCTGCCCTGCTTGAATACAGAGGTCAGTCAATGTTTCAAGATCAATAATTTGCTTCAGATTCGCATCCCTTTCAATCCTATCGCCAGAATTTACACTTCCAGCTAGGCCCTCTAGGGCATCACGATGTGACCTCAATGCTGAATCAATACAATTTAAAAGCGCAGATGTATGCTCCCTTAGCATCTTATCCATTTTATCTATTCCATAGCCACCAAAAAGACGAACAAGTGATTTAAGTTCTCTTTTATCTGTAAATGCTTCAGCTAAACATCCACCACCAATAGGTTGTGAGCTCCTGAAGCAATTTTGGATTGCATCAAAAGCAACTCCAATGCGAGAAGCATCCTTTACTACATTCTCAATATACCAATTGCATATCGTCTCAACAGCAGATCCCCCTCCTTGTGTCCCCACTGGAGTCTCAAACATTTGCAGATTAGGAAATGGACCAGTATAACTCTCTGCTAGCAGCACTTCACGTATGCCTTCAGTAAGGTCCATACTAATATGCTGCTCTGCTAGATGGATGATGCCCAGATGTCTTCTTAGAAGAGATTCTATGATTGATGGTCGCTGAATGCAGTTCTCAGTTCTAATCATACTATGAAATCTTCTCCTGAAATTTCCTACGATGCAGTCTCTCATGTACTGTGAAATTAACAGAATCTAGTTAAGTCAAACAACTCAATGTAATTGTATTGATTCCAATAAAAGCTTCCTTTATCTAAAAAAGTGTAAGTAAAACAAGGATATGCATGCCAGTTTAAGGAATAAACAACATAAGCAGTAATTTCCTTTTGAAAATACAGAATTCCTTGCATCGTTCTTTTTAGATCCCTGTTGTCATAAGATTATTACCTTAACATGAAAACTAAGGATATTATCCACCAGTTTAATAGCCATGAACCACCAATCATCTTATTATGGCATATTATTTGTTATCCTAAAAACCTAACATATTGTAAGGTTCCCAAACATGCATATTTACTTCCTCCCAGTGAACATAAATTGTACATACCTCACGTAGAACAAAAACATGGTTGAGAACACAAATAGGCTCCATGTCATTTAGAACAGAACACAAACTTGTCAGCCTTTGCATAGCAGCTTCCAGCCTGTTTTTGAGGCATACATAATTATACTGAAGTCAATAGAATGATGGAAATATTTGAAGTGGTGTGAAGTAACAAATTGACTGACATCTTAATTGATGAACTATTATCAGGATAGCTCTCATGTCCTGGAGTTAACAAGCTTGAAACACCTTTTGCTCTTGTTGTGCTATTTAAGCGAAGAGCTGCTTGCTCTGGGGAAAGCTGGCAAGATTTTAGAAGTGAGACTTCAAAGATATAACCTATGAGCCAAAAAATCATAAATATAAACTCAGAAGTTATCTACCTGCATCTCTAATGAGCCAAATCCACCTTCTGAATCTAGAATATTTATCAAACCTTCCAATCCACCCATGATAGACTCAATAAGGGACTCCACATAAGAGATAGAATCTCTGCCAATTTTGTTAACCTACATTGCAAACAAAGAAAGATTCACTAATTAATATGCCAAACACGGAAGAGAAGTGCAACCCTGTAGAGGAGGAATCTCAGTAACACATTGGGGACATATTGTTATGTCATAATAAGAGTTGGAGCATATAGGATTATAATGTCAATGGCAGTTCAAAGCCTTCACAATCCCAAGGCATAGGCGGCTGGCTTGCTTCTTGCTCAACAGATCAAGCATAGCAAATGTCCATCTTGCCAAGCAAAAATTAATAGTATATGTGTCGCCTTATAATATTTTACTAATCCTCAAAGCCAGCCATGTTGCAGAGCACATCTTCAGGATGCTGTAAGCATCAAAATAATGCTCAAACTGAAATCATATAGTGAATTCAAATATACACCTCTTCAGGAATAATTGCAGAAGCACATTCTGGAAAACTGCAAGCTGCTCCAAGCCAAGCACAACAATGCTGTGGACGACCTTCTGGGCCAAACATTGTATTTCTGAAGACCTGTGGGTCCCAGCAAAAAAAAGGGACTTATTATCAGCATAAAGTCTTACTAGAGAAGATTTAAAGGACTATGCGAATCACACAGCAATAGAAACTTACTGTGGTAAGATGCTGATGATAAAAGTAGAGTTTTTTAAGGCTTCCATGTTTGGAGAGTTGGCTCTCAAGTTCATCCACACATCTGCAGAGCATGTTAACTCTAGTGAGGTTCAAATGATTCTTAAAGAATTTTGATTCAAATTCAAGTATTTGAGTTCTTGCCAAAAGCACAATAACAGAGAACAAGAACTATACAGATGCATGCACGATAAGCAACTACTTTAGTTATTCTACTTTACCAACTATATTTGTAGTAGTGTAAAATATAGGGATAAGAGACATGCAGTTAAATGGCATGAAGATGGTATAAAACAAAGTGTAATTTTAGGAGCATGAAATAGGATTATTTATTTATGTTGGGCCAATTATGCCCGTACCTCTTTGCCTTGGTAATATATGAGGTTACCAGGAACATACAAGGGGATATCCCTTGGTGTATGTTGTTCGCTGATGATGTAGTGTTAGTGGACGAAAGCCAGGCGGAAGTAAATAGGAAACTAGAGTTATGGCAGCAAACCATTGAGTCTAAAGGTTTTAGATTGAGCAGAACTAAAACCGAATACATGAGATGCGACTTTAACGGAGTTGCACAGGAAGAGGGAGATGTGAGTTTGGAAGGTCAAGTAGTGCCTAAGAAGGATACCTTTCGGTATCTGGGATCGATGCTACAGAGGGATGGAGATATTGATGCGGATGTTAGCCATAGAATCAAAGCAGGGTGGATCAAGTGGCGACAAGCTTCTGGCATTCTCTGTGACAAGAGGGTACCACGAAAGCTAAAAGGCAAGTTTTATAGAATGGCGATTAGACCGGCTATGTTGTATGGAGCAGAATGTTGGCCTACAAAGATTCGACATGTTCAACAACTGAGTGTTGCAGAAATGCGTATGTTGCGATGGATTTGTGGTCTCACAAGAATGGACCTAGTTCGGAACGATGATATACGTGATCGCCTAGGGGTAGCACTAATTGAAGAAAAACTTGTCCAACATCGGTTGACCTAGTTTGGCCATGTCCAGAGGAGACCTCTAGAGGCACCAGTACATTGTGGAGTCCTAAGCCAAGCTAATAATATGAGGAGAGGTAGAGGAAGACCGAAATTGACATGGGGGGAGGCAATAAAAAGAGATTTAAAAACTTGGGATATACCTAGAGATCTATGTTTGAATAGGAGTGCTTGGAAAGCAGCTATTGAAGTGCCTGAACCGTGACTTGGGACTCTTGGTGGGTTTCAACTCTAGCCTACCCTAGCTTGCTTGGGACTGAAAGGCTATGTTGTTGTTGTTGTTGTTGTTGTTGTTGTTGTTATGTTGGGCCAATTATGCGAAGCACCTTACAGAAGCTGGAGTTAACTCAATACCACATTAACCACAGCAAAGACGCATAATGGGAAATTACCATCCCATGCTTGGGCCTGGGGCCACATGCCATTGACACATAGGATAGCATTTTCCAAATCATGACCCTTTCAGAAAAATATTGGCTGGCAAAAAAAGATAAAAATCTAGCTAACACAAATTAAAGCAGATCTTTCCAATCACCTTGACCAATTATATGCAGCATTGCCTTCTGACACTAAACCTTCCTTCCCAGTAGACACAGTAGCCTTCTCCAAGTGCTTAATGTTTATCGAGGATCGTGAAGACGTGACTATCATCAAAATGGAGAGCCAGTGCTTACGCAAATCCTGCAGCATCAATATCAGGTTTCAAAAGTTCAAAAGGTAAACTTAAATGGAAGACTAAGCATATAGAATTAGATACGCAGTTGGTGACATACTTTTCGCTGGTTAATGCAACCAGCAATGTAAAAGAAAACCAAAACCAAGGTGTGAAGCTTTCAAGTTTCAACAAGCAATAGAATATAGTGTTCAACCTTCAACGTGATTAAAAATCATAAAATTGTCAACACATAGAAAAGAGTAAGGTAACGTTCAAAAGAGCACAATTCACAGATAATGAGTTCGAGGAGAAGCAAAGTTAGCACTTTTTATCAACAAAAAATAGCTCTGGTGGTAAAGCAAATATATTCTCATCAGTATCTAGAAGTTAGTTTTTGAACAACACCATTGAAAAGTATTCAAAAACTACCTTACAATCCAGAATCTTGATAAATATTAGAACTGTAGTTATCTACATGTAGACTTAAAACATATGCTACTGCTCAAATGAAACAGTTTTGAGAGGGAAAGCGTGAGTGCTGGAAATTATGCATAACAAAATTGAACTCAAATTGTATAATGTTGTGTGGACCAACAAGAAAACCTTTGCATCAATCTACCAATTACTGGGCATAGAAAATCGTATTGACAACAAGAGTGCGTTGTAGGAAAATTAGGTATATCTTCATAGGTCATTGAGTAAATCTGTATATGATATTAGGTTGTTAACTTACAGTCAAGTCAGCGGTAATGGCAGGAACACTTTCCCCCTGAGGTTTTGGAATGTTCTCCAGACAATGGAGGACTTGCTGAAAAAGGCCCTTCAGTGTTGCATCTAGGTCAAGAGCAACCATTCCTGGAGTACCAAGCAAGAACCGTATTCTTCCAGCACTGGATGACAAATATGATAACGCATAACCTTTTATTGCTGCAAAGAGGAAAAGGTATCATTTGATAAAAAATGAAAAAAATTCAACACTGCTAGTTTAGGACAAACTTAAGTTTTTTTGTTTGTATAATACTTTATTTGCCCAAAAATAAAGAGATGTGCATCAGTATATAAATTCAGCACTGAAAAATGATAATCTTCTTAAGGCATAAATGAAAATTTTACTTAACTCATATTAATGAATATGATCCTACCAGTTGAATCTAATACGCTATATTCTAAGAAGATAGTGCTTGCAACATGAACTAAGCAAACATTAACTAGCCCAGAATGGGCATGCCAGCTACAAGCCTACAGACTTGTTCACTTTGACCTCAACATCATAATAAGGTATCTTACTCACAATGACTGCCCTATAAGGCACAGCTAGGACTAGACAAGGAAAAATATTAAAAGAAACACTCAAATAAGGCAACAGGTTTGGAAGAACCTGCTATGTATTTACGAACCAGGCAACAAAGTTTGCCTATTCCATCTAGTAAGAAACCAATAGTTGGGTCTGTCGCATCCTGAAAGTTCAGTCAACAATTAGTATGGAAGGGAACAACGATTTATTTTTTTATTTTATTTTTTTGAGATGAGGAGAAACCTCTGCTTTTAGAAAGCAATAGAATACTGAAACAACGATTCATTGAATCCAAGGAAAAAATAACATCAGAGTAACTCACAATGTCAACAGTTTTCACTCGAGTAGATTTTGATGCTGCAACCCCCACATGTTGGAAGTACCAAATCACCTCGCATTGAGACAAAGCAAGAGCAGAAAAGACCATCTGCACAATGTATCGGCATTATATGTACATCACTTGTGGAATAACATGATCTTAGGTGCGTCCCTCGATATGAAATCATGAAGATCTTTGAAAGTATATAGAGCCTACTCAAGTCTCATGGAATCTACCAAGGTTATCCTTAGTGCACAGAGAAATATTCTCTGGAAATCCATAAGTAGCTAGTAAATCCAAATTAATCACTACTGCATTTATTTTCTCTTTCTTGTGAATTACCCTCTATTTTGACCATTAATTAATAATACAAATATATAGCGCAATATACTACTGTTTTCCCCTAAAAAGGATAATATATACAGATAAGTTGCCTTACATAAAAGTTGAATTGTTTACAAGTGTAAATGAAAAAAAGATGTCTAATATGTCCAACACCCCAGAATAACTGGTAGAAATGTACGGTAGGGTACATCTTTTATCATGGTTATCAAGGCGGTAAGGTGAGGCATGGTGACTGACTACTGCCTTACGCTTAAGCGACTAAAGTGTGAGGCGAGGCGACGCCTTAAGTATTAGAGATATGTATAAGTCTAACTCAAGCATCCTCCTCGGATCTTCTGCGGCGCATCATCGACCGTCTTAGCTCCGAGTTCGCCATGACGAACCTTGGGGCTCTACACCACTTCCTCGGCATCTCCGTCACTCGGTCCTCCGACAGCCTCCACTTGTCCCAGAGACAGTATGCCGTCGACCTTCTTCAGCGGGCTGGCATGGCTGAGTGTCACCCCACGGAAACACCGGTTGACTCCAAGTCCAAGCTGTCTGCCACCGATGGAGCTCCGGTTGCTAGCCCTTCAGAACACCGGAGCCTTGCTAGCGCCTTGCAGTATCTCACGCTGACTCGGCCGGACATTGCCTACGCCATTCAGCAAGTCTGCCTCTTCATGCACGACCCGCGAGAGCCGCACCTTGCTCTGATCAAGCGCATCCTGCGCTATGTGAAGGGCACCCTCGACGCCAGTATGCACCTCGGCATTTGCAACGTCTCATCCATCACGGCATACTCCGACGCTGGCTGGGCTAGATGTCCAGACTCTCGGCGCTCTACATCAGGCTATTGCGTCTTCCTCCGAGACAACCTGGTTTCCTGGTCTTCAAAACGGCAAACCACGATGTCTCGGTCCAGTGCGGAGGCAGAGTACCGAGCTGTTGCTCACGCAGTTGCTGAGTGCTGCTGGTTGCGCCAGTTGCTTGAGGAGCTTCATATCTCGATCCCTTCGGCGACCATTGTCTATTGCGACAATGTCAGCGCAATCTACATGACCGCCAATCCGGTTCATCATCGTCGCACGAAGCATATTGAGATTGACATTCACTTTGTTCGTGAGAAGGTGGCTTTGGGGTAGTTCAGAGTGCTACATGTACCCTCAGCTCATCAGTTTGCGGACATTATGACTAAGGGACTGCCTGTACAGTTGTTCAATGACTTTAGGTCCAGTTCCCTCCCGCTGTGACTGTGGGTGGGTATTAGAGATATGTATAAGTCTAACTCATGTATATTGTATCTTGGCTATATATATGAGATCCACCCCTCCCTAATGGGAGTGAGGTGTTATCCCAATATTCTACATTAAGAATTTAAGGAAAACTTAAAACAGCAGCTTAGAGCAATAGATGATGAAGAAAAAAGAAAAAGAATAGAGTAAGAAGTGGGCTGGCCCAGCCCACCAGGCAGCCCATGTGCCCCTCCCCCCTCCTGGTGTGGCTTCATCTAGAAAGGTTTCCATCTCTCAAACTCCCGATCCCCTCCAGCGCCACCGCTCCACTCACTCTCTCATGTTCCCCACCACTGCCGTTCTACCTCTGCCCAGATGTGCTGCTCTGCTTCCCTCCACCCCTCTGCTTCCCCTCCCTCACTGCTCAGCGCTCTCAGGATCGACAGAGCCTCCCATTCTTGAGGGGGAAGAGGCGCGCCTCCTGTTCCTCTACCGCTCACTGGTAAGCAGAATCTCCCTCACGCCCGCTCTCTCTCTCTCTCTCTCTCTCTCTCATGCGCTCTATTTCTCCCGCGCACTCTCTCGATTTTTTCCGCCATTTCTCCATGGATCTCCCGCTTTTTCCTGCCCAGATCACTCATATGGCGCTTGCCACGAGCAATTTGGCACAATTCGGACGCCAAAGCACCGTTTTTTGGACGCCTCGGCTGTAAGGTGGACACCATACGAATCTAAGGTGAGTCGTCTGCTGTGGGCGTCATGCGTGCAGCACTTTGGCGCTTAAGCGATGCCTTAATAACACTGTCCTTATCATTCAGTTTTTTGTTACCTTATAAATTATAAACATTTTACTTTTCATCAGAAGCTCAAGCATCATTCAAAGAGACTAATATTGGACAAAACATAAAAATATCAAATGCCAGAATCTAATGCATCAACTTTGAGGTCTCATTTACAACAATCAAGAAAAGGTAATAGATTAGTAGTTAACGAAATGTGATACTTGGCACCGAACCTGAATATTAGGTGCTAGGAGGCTAGGTTGATCTGTGAAAAATAAAACCATCCTTCCAATTTCCTGCTTAAGAAGAATTCTCCTTTCACGATGCATAGCATCGCATGACACTAGCGCTTGCTCATGCACTTCCCTGTAGAGAGTTAACACAAAACATTAACAAACATCTGAATTCTGAAGAATGACGCCGAGTAGATAAAATCAAAAAGTCCAATAAAAAAAGCAATGACACCAGAAGGGAAAAATGCTAGGTAAAACAGTTCCCAAGTTATGAAGTTAAAAGTCAAAAGAACCAACCAAGAATAGGCTATCTGAACTTGGCAAATCCAAAAAAGTGAATATGCAGAAAGACTTCAAAAAACAATAATCAAAGTATAAGGTAAATAGCCCAAACTTGTGGAACAACAGAACCCTTCACATTACAAGCTATTTTGGAGCATAGGGAAAAGCATAGATGAAAAGGCTGTGCAGGACATACGTTAACATTCTCTCAACCTGCTTTGCAACATTGTACTCCAGATCAGCTTCCTTTTGCTTAGTTCGGCCAGATTTAGCCATTCTCTTTGATTCTAGAACTTTTGGAAGAACGTAAAGTTGATAATTTTCATGAAGTAAGATGTACTACACACACAAATGAAAGACCAAATTAGAATAGTGACACCAAAGAATTAATCATGCTACAACATTGTCTTTAATTTTACCTCATCTCTGAACAGAGGAAGTATTAAGTTCTCTTTCAGAACAACCTGAAAGTGACCAAGAAGAAACAAATCAAGGCTAAATCACAAATAACATGCTGGTTGCACTGAGGAATCTAGTTTGGTGAATCTTTACTAATACTAGTACAGTTTCTTTTTTTTTACCGCAAAAGACTGTGGGGGAGTTCCCCATTGTAACTGATTCATGAAAGATGCTTTCAACCAAATCAATCTAAAATTAGAAATAAATAAATGCTTTTAAAAAGCCACCATAGCACCAAACCGAGACTTACCAGATACCAACATAATATTTCTTATGATAAAATGGAGTGAGAAAACAAGATGTATGTGCCACTATGTTGGTGGATGTAAGTGTAAAGTGCTCATTGAAACCATTATATACACTGTAATTATTAACTATTCAGGAAAAGAGAGTATGAAACGAACAAAAAAAGACATAGGGCATACCATGGCAACATCTATACTGGTAACCCTAAGTAGTTCATCAGGACAAACAAGATATCCTAGAAGAACCCACTCACGGTATGATGTGACATTAGCCAAGTCTTGGGCCCTCTGGAAGGAAACAGAATCACGTTAAATCTCTAAATTATAATACACATTTATCATGGTATTGGCAGAATAATGAACAGACATTTATGCTCTCATGATTTATCATCTCTAACAGTTGAAGTACTAACCATTGGGTGGGCGGAATTTGTTAGGATGTCTGGATAACGTGGATGAAATGGACTGAGGAAACCTTCGTTCCTTAACTTCTTTGTATCAGTTGAAAGAAAGATAATTGGGCCAACAGCTTCCAGGACCTGAGGAACAAAACATTACAGTCAAAGCACCAAAAAACAATTTAGATAGAAAATCTAAGTCAGATGCTGTAAAGGTACTAACAAAATGCATGTGCTTTTCAAAAGTGTTTAACTGCTGATCTATATTGTATTTCAATTTATAAATTCATAGCACAAAGCATTGATCTTAATATCATACACCCTGTGAATAAAGATGTGTAGACAATCTCTGCTACAGAAGATGCTCAATGCCACATCAAGTGCTCACAAAATCCATAGAACATACTCGAATCCCAGACTTTATATTAAATATAACAGCAGAGATAAGGTATCGGATACAGAAGGAAAAAAAAGCTTGGCAATAAGAACGACAAGTAAAACAAATGGGGAAAAATCACAAAACTAGTCAAGCAACAGATTGTAAGAAAAATAATTGGCCCTCCAAATATACTCAATGCTAATGCAAGTATGCAAAACTGGCCCTAAGAAGCTTTTTCTGCAGCCTATTTCATGATCATAGTACTGAATGATGGGAGGAAGTAGCCTAGCATGTAACACATTTAGGAGTTGAACACTCAAATAGCATATGAAGCTTAATTCCTAGTTATTACTACTGCAATGGAGAATGACATGAGTACCACCTCTCCAATTCTTGGGCTCACAAAATTAAGATCTTCATGCAACCCCTTGATAGGTGGATCATAAGAATCCACAAATTGAACCAATCTGTGTATAGATAAACAATAGTCAGTGAAGAAGAATCTATAGACTAGACTGGACATAACAAAAAAATGATAAGGTAACAATAAACCATTCATGACACAAAAAGAATATCACAGGGATGGGGTTAAATAGTCCCTCCAGTCAAACATATTTGATATTTTTTTCTCGAACAACGCAGGAGAGCTGCGTGTCATTTCATTAAGAAGAAAGAAACAGAGGGCCGGCAGGAACCGGCCAAGTACAAACAAACTCAACCCCTCCCCCCCCCACACACACACCACTAACAGGAAGCAAACTCTTACAGAAAAATAAAAGAAGCAACAACTAGAACCCTGACCAACCTACACACAATCTAAGTGGCCAAGGACAGTGACCAGGCAAGGAGCTCTTGGAGTTTAGAAGCTCCTGCCAACCCCCAAAAACTGCATTCATCAGCTATCACTCGGAGCAGATCTGGAATGCTAGGCCTAGCATTCTCAAAAACACAAGAGTTCCTGTGTTTCCAGGTTTCCCAAGCTACCAGAATAACTAAAGAGTTGAACCCCTTTTGCAAATCTTTTGGAATAAGCCAAAGACCTTTCCTCCACCAGCTAGAGAATTTGGTGTCTGACGTTGAGGGCACTAGAGCAGGAAGATGTAGGGCTTGGAGAATTGAAAACCAAATCTGCCTGGTGAAGACACAACCCACAAGGATGTGCTGAATGGTTTCTTCCTCTTGATCACAAAAAGGACAAGCCTCCGAGTGGGGCAAGCCTCTTTTAGCAAGTCGGTCTACCGTCCAACAACGATTGTTGATAGCCAACCAAATGAAGAACTTGCACCGGAGTGGAGCCCAACTCTTCCAAATCTTCTTCCATGGTGCAAATTTGATGGTCCCGACAAAGAAAGCAGCATACGCTGATTTGCTGGTGTAAGTACCTGACTGAGTTAACTTCCATCTAAACTGATCAGGTACTTCCTGCTGCAAGGTCAATCCCTCCACTAGATCCCAAATACTGAGATAATCTTCCAAGACTTGGACAGTTAGCGCACCTTTGATATCTGCCACCCATCTCTGATTATTTAGAGCCTCAGCTACTGTCCTTCTATTGAGCGACCTTTTGGGAATAGCTTTGATCAAATTTGGGGCTAGTTCATTGATGGTTCTGCCGTTCAGCCACCTGTCCTTCCAGAATAAGATCGATTCCCCGTTACCAACAATACAGTCAACCGCCAAGCGAAACATTGCTTCTGCGCACTGAGGAATTTGAACCTGAAAACCAGCCCAAGGTCTTGAGGGGTCTGTTTTTTGGGCCCAAAGTCAACGGATCCTAAGAGCCCAGCCAAGTTTTTCAAGATTATGGATCCCCAAGCCACCAAACTCAAGCGGGCGCTGTACCCTTTCCCATGAAACTAAACAATTGCCTCCATTGCTTGTTCCTGCCCTTTCCATAAAAATCCTCTCCTCCTTTTATCCACTCCAAAGGGTGGGCCTAGTGCAAGCGGTAGAGTCTTACCGCCTGTGACCGGAAGGTCCCGGGTTCGAGTCGTGGTCTCCTCGCATTGCACAGGCGAGGGTAAGGCTTGCCACTAACACCCTTCCTCAGACCCCGCACAGAGCGGGAGCTCTCTGCACTGAGTACGCCCTTTTTTTCCTTTTATCCACTGCATTGATTACCCATTTAGGGAGATCAAAGGCAATCATTAAATAAATGGGGGTGGCTGTCATGACCACCCGCACCAAGATCAATCGACCAGCCCTATTCATTAGCTGTGCCTTCCACCCTGGGAGAAGATCAGCCACTTTATCAACTAGATGTAGCAGCACCTCCTTGGTGGGTTGGGAAAGGTATACTTGATATTTGATTTTGCATGTTCTTCGATGCATACCTTTGACCACTAATTTCTTCTAGAGTATATCCTTAAAATCCTTCAGATTTATGAGATGCTGCAGGTTTTTTTTTTCAAGACGATTCTACACATATAACTTAAATGTTTTCAAACTAAACAATTAAAAGTTATTGATGTTTGTAGTTTATATAAGGTTTAGCTAAATCTTGTCCGAAATGGCATGTTTTTATGGCCGGAGAGAGCAGTAAGTGCACAGGCTACAGTCTGTGGTACCACTCCAGATATAAACAATAATACATTGAAAACATGCAACAATGACAGTGTTTAAATTTAAAATTCTTATAAGAGCGATTAAGATATTTATATTTATATCTAGTGATGCTCAGGACGGCCATAGCGGTCATGTTGTTTGCTAGTATGGGCGGTACTGTAGCGCCCCGCATGTGTCCTTTGTTCTTTTTTTTTCTGTTTCTTGTTGTAGTTGGTAGGGGATTCTTCCTCTCCCATTGTACTGTTCCCTTCTTAATGAAATAATGCACAGATCTCAAAGGAAAAAAAAAAGATTTATATTTATCAATAAAGTACATAAGTGCCAATACTTCAAAAGCAGCATACTCGGGCTTACAGACTGTTGATCTTCAATTTTTTTAATTATGTTTTGCACTGCACGCATATTTGTATTTTCATTTTAGCAATAATCAAGAATAATATTAACACACATGATTAACTAATAAAGAATGATCTATATTTGTTTTCATGCAATTTTATAACATACCAGCAACTGGCATATAGAAATGACAAATTACAATAAACAATATAATCCTAGTGCTAAAAAAGGTTTTAAAAGGTGGAAGCAACTTTTATTTTCCAAAGGTAATGCCCATACCGGTGATAAAACTCAAAATCACGACCATCCTTTAGCATTATGTGCAAGATGTTGTAAACCTGGAGGATCATCTTTCTTGGCATCTGCAAACAGAAGTTAAGGTAGGATATTATTTTGGTAAAAGAGGAAAAACTACTATTTAGAGTAGTAATATATTTCAAATATAATGAAATTAAGAACACAGTTACCTTGTCAGAGAAAAGATTCACTCGGACAAATGAACAGAACAGATCCATAAAAGCATGAAGAATTAAAGAGTTCTGGTGTGGCTGTGAAAACAATGCAAACATAATCGATTACGCAGACAATAACGACAGGTCATTTCAATCAAGACCAAGAGATCTCTTACCAGCAATGTTATGACCGTGCTGCTCAAATCCAAAATAAGTCGCAAAGCTTGTTCACGAAATGCCAGCAAATCAAGAAGCAACTGATGGGATGAAATTTGGAAGGAAATCAGCAAAATGAGGAGAGAAAAAAACATCGTCAGTGGGAATGAAGGTAATTACCTAAGCTAGTAAGTTAGTAATTTCTAAATACACTTTTATGGCATAGAAAGACAACGGTTAGTTCAGGGCAGTGCATCACTGCAGCTACGGACTACGATACCAACTGTTGGCACGTATTCTAACCAGCTTTTTGTAAATTGCAAGTACAGCTTTTTTTTCTGGTTCATATAGTAAGCTCGATACTCATGCAGAATTAGGGGCAGCGAAGTTATGCTACCAAAAAAAAGGCTGACCATGCTAGCATGTGCAGCTTTCACAGATACCATATCTGATGAACCCAAGTTTGGAAAACGTATCAGGTGAAACGACAAATGGAAAATGAGCAAGTGCAATAAGTCACACAGAATTAGAGTAGGTGAGGTACTATGTCATATAAGTTCAACAAAGATGCTTGGTTACTGAGAGCAGAATATAGTAAAACTCATAGATCAATTGATGCAATCCATTTTCCACAATTTGGACAGACTTGGGTGATACCATACACACATGTTTTGGATTGCAACACATATTTCATTTACAGAAAGAGGGGGGTTTACCCTAAAGGTTCAGATTTCTTTATATGCTTGGCACATACCAGGATCCACTGCTCAAGATTGTGCATGTAACCTTCAGCATTCTCGTTTAAAGCATCAAGAGCAAACTTATCTACCTGCAAAGCATCAGAGTGATTGACTCGCCAGTCACCACCATATTAAACTAAATGAACTCTAGGAAGGGAGCCAGATGAGCTGTGAACAGCTGAAGAAAACTGAATCCTTACCCTTTCCAGCTGCAGCTTGTTTGGATGCTCAGGAAACTTTTTTGACATCGTGATGCAAATTTTTGGGAAATTTGGAAAGACACCAGCTTTCCAAAATGAATCTGAGAACGTGTGCGTGTTTGGATCTGGATAGTCCAGGATGCTGTTCAGCCGATATATTTTGGCCAGCAAGCCTTCTGCAACCTTTGACAGCTGAACCACCGGCTCCATCTGAAGATGTTTGTGGCCACCAGCAGAAGAGCCTTGCGGCCCATCAACACCCATGTTCCTCCAGGTTGCCAATGCCGAAGGAATTGGTTCTTCAACACTTAGATACTCAGACCATCGGGACATACCGCCGTCCACATCTTTGCTTTTGAACGAAACATGGGCCATCTCTTCCTTAAGTAGAGAACAGCTGCCTGGTCTTCAACTGCATTGCAAGTATGGACGCATAAGTTGAGGAAAAGCATACGCTGCCCACACATGCATGAGTTAAATTGGAACGAACGACATAGTCAACCTACATCAGCCCACTTCACGCCCTGGTGAACAAAACAGGCAATTAATTCACATTTTAAAATTACAGGCATGCCATCGGTTACCATCAAAATATGCTCACTAGTAGCCTAATGGATAAATGAAGCGGTTTAAAATTAAATAAAGCATAATGGAAGAGGAACAGCGCTGCAGGAAGCTTGAAACAGCAAACACAACCTATGGCCACTATACATCCATGCATGTGTGATGTGTCAAAGTAAACACCCTAATTTTAACCGTGTCCACGCTACCCTTGTTAAAAAAATAAAAAAAAAATAAAAAACCCGGCTGCCTTTCCCCACCAGTGGGGTTGATGCTGTGAATGTAATTGAGGAACCAACCATAGGAATGAAGGTTTGTCATGTCCTTCCTCTTCCAATTTGGTCGGATCTGAGGGAGGGAGGGAGAGAGTCAGAGAGAGGAGCCCTTGCCGCGCGACTTGTGGATCTGGGCTGCCGGTCAGTAGGCCGCCTGGACGGCGCCGCTCGGCCTCCGCTTGCCCGCGGGCGTGGGGTCGCGCCGCCCCGCCAGATAGCGCGGCTCGTCTGCTCAGCTCGACCGCTCGGCCGCACGCACGCACGTCGCCGACGCCAACAGGAATGGCCACCGAGCGGCGAACGCACGCCAAGCAGCGCTGAATTGAAAATGGGAATGCACGCAGGACGGCAGGAGCGCACTGCGCACCCGAGGAGGTCGGAATCGAAGGAAGGATAATTCGCAATTGATGAGCACAGATACTCTGGAAAGCAAAGCAGATGAGCAAGTTGGAGCGCCTAAATCGACATGGAACCCGGCGGCATTTCACTACTGCAGGATTGCTTGGGGACACGAACATCAGCACACCCCGGGCCGGGCGGAGAGCGAGGCGCAGCAGCAGCAGCAGCAAGGAGACGGGCTCACCTGCGGGACGGTAGCGCGGATTCGGAGGTCCACCCCCGGGGGCTCGCTCAGCGCGGGGATGTCGGCGCCATTGCGCGGGGAGGGAGCAACAGCGACGGCGGTGGCGAGGCGTCCCTCTCGGTAGGACCCCGCCTCGACGTGATGGGAGGAGGTAGTGGAACCGTGGAAGGGGAGTGGGAGGAGTAGGCGACGGAAGGCGACCGGACCAGACGAGGACGGATGCGGTGGTTCGGAGTGCCGGATTCGTCGTTACGCCTACGCAATTACGGCATCCCGGCCCCACTCTCGTGACGCTGCGCGGTCGGGCCCACTTCTTCCCGCGGCCGGGTGGGTCTCCTTCTGGCCGGCTGCTGCTGCGGAGCGGAGTGCCCGCCTGCGACAGAGGCTTCGCTGGACGGCTGTACCCCGAGAGTCCCTCGACCAACGGCGGCCCGGCCGTACGTCCAGCATCGACGCGATCCGGCACCAACGGAGGAGCAACCACGACGGGACCGTAATTATTATCATTATACAGATCGTTAAATTTATTTTTATAATAAATTTATTTAAAAATATAAAATATTTGTTATAAACCTAGTTAAATTTTAAAAAGTTTGACCGGCATGATTACTATATTAACACTTATTTTCGAACGGCGAGAATAAGGTAGAAAGAGGGCGGTAATCCAGTGTGGTTGCTGTAATTTTTTAGTGCAGGCATGGGTATTCATTTCCATCAAACATCTCTATGCCCTCTCTGCGGGGAGCTGCGTTTGTACAGCTCCATGCATTCGGAAGGAGGAGCCATCCAATGCCTAGTTTGGAGCTGTTGCGTTTGGCAGGGCTCCACCAAAAAGCTCTATCCTAAGTATCAGCTATAGGGTTTTGCCAAGCAGTCCTTTATATCTAACTAGGTTTTTGTTTGTGTGTTACGGCATAAGCCAAAAAAAAGGTCGGTCCATGAGATGTTTTAAATTGCTTTAAATTGTTCAAGAATGTTCTCGCAAAAAAAATGTTCAATAATGTTTGTCTTCAAAATCAAACATTGTCGGGTGCAGCGACTCAGCAAAAGAAAAGGGACTCGGCGAGAATCAATGAGAACACGAGACGTCTTAAGGAGCTTCGTTAGGATTTTGAACGGTCTGGACTCCTATTTTCATGGATGGATTGTTCAGATGTCCGCCTCTAAAAATGTTGGAGGAAATTACAGAGGCGATGGTGTTTGTGGTTGCCTCTAGTAGAAATAGGAAAGGTCGTCTCCCAAAATTAATTTTGTAATCATTTATTTGCACTAATATAGTAATGTTGGACTATATTTATGTATCGAATAAAGTTCATTATTTGAACATTTGTGCTATAAATTGTTGTTTCATTTTTTGTACACCTTGTTGTTTCCTTTTTAAGTTAATTCGAGTTGCCATCTATACTACATAATGTATTAATGCTATGGCCGGATAGACCAAATCTTCCCCACCATAAGCTCTAGTAAGGACGAGAAATATGATTTTCCCTCCTCACGGAGATGGGTATGGCATTTGGCCTAATTTATTCCATGGTGGCTCATGTCGTGTGATGATATGAGATTGTGAGAGTTTTGTCTCACATTGGTTGTTTAAGGCTGGGTTAGACTAACATATAAGGTTAAAATGCATATTACCAATCCCGATTAACCCTTCTATGTGAAGCGAAAACAAAAATGTGAGTGTGTTGGTAGGAGTGTAGAGTGGATGTAAACCGTTTGGACTTTATTAGAGTGTTACACTTGGTACAGGAAAACAGCGATCCACGCTCGTTGTTTCAGTTGTTGTTTTTGGTAGTTAGTGTTATTGTTGCTCAACCTCTTGAGGTTTTGTTGCTCTGTTGTTTTATGGAGCGTGTCTAGTCTTCTTGTTTTCTAATATAATGGACGTATCTTTCAGAGAAAGGGTGTTGAACCACATCCAAGAAGTGCGACATGCACTAAAGCATTATTGTTTGCTTGACATGACCACTACAAATGCAAGTCTAGACGACTTGAGAAATAATATGATCGTTCCTTACGAAAAAGAGTTGAACCACGTCCATGTGCGACACGCATTGAAGCGTTATTGTTTGCTTTAATATGACCGCTTAGACGACTTGAGAAATACTCCATCCGTTCCAAATTATAAGTCATTCTAAGAATTTTGAATAGTCAAAGTATCTCAAGTTTGACCAAATTTATATAACAAGATAATAACATTTATGAATCATTGATTTTTCATTAAATATATTTTCATAGTATACCTATTTAATGTCATAAATCTTTATATTTCTTTTTATAATTTTGATCAAATTTGAGATGCAAGCAAGGACCCTATGAATCCTTGTCAAAGAGAGTTTTTTTAGCATGAAAAGAGAGTTTGATTGAGTGGTCAATTAATTGGCCAGCATACTGCATGCCTACCATAGTACCGTGCATTGATGCAGTGGCGGAGCGTGGGAACAAATTAAGGGGGTTAAATCCAGTAGTGACCAGTATGTATTTGTATATTTGTGATTTATGAGCCTGGTAAACATACTGGGCCTGTTCGTTGGTTGGTGTTGGTACTGGTTTGGGCTGGCTGGTGTTGATTTTTTGTGAGAGGAAAACACTGTTGGCTGGCTGGTTTGGGCTGGCTGAAACCAACAAGCGAACAGGCTGACTAGCGACAGCACATATATGAAAGCAAGTTCCATATCTGCGTGACAATATGAGCTCCAAGCCTCCAACTACCTACGTCCAGCACGTGCATAATTGCAGGAACCAGTTTGCTTGCATGTATGCATGCAGAATTACTCCGTGGCAAGGGGGACAATAGCCCAGTCTCACCTCCTGTTCGTTTGAACTTATCAGTCGACTTATCAGCTATAATTTACAGTATTTTTTTCTCAAGATGCTCCGCCGGTGCATTGATGCGCATATAGCGATGCTGTAGCTAGTACCTATATGTACCATGCACATTATGCACGCAAAAGCAGTCATGATCCTTATGCTCTCTCTCTCTCTCTCTCTCTCTCCCTCTCTCTCTCTCTTCGAAATTGTGTATTTTGTTTCAACAGAACAATCCCTAACCAACTTTTTTTATTAATATTTACATGAAGTTTATGAAAAAAATGACTTTATTAGATCTATATAGAAATATGTGTACATGAAGTTTGTGATTTTGTATCATATAAATGAGATACCAAGAATAGTATCGGTTAAAGTCTTGTCCTAATAAAATGAAATACATACTTCCTCTATTCCATAAGTCATTTTGTTTTTTCTAGATATTATGTATTTAGATATACACTATATCTAGACTCTAGATACATATAGTAAAACCAATGTATTTAGAAAAAAAAACAAAATACATTGTAATTTGGAAGAGAAGGATTACGTCTTGATTTGAAAGGGAGTGAGTACTTTGCATAACGTACAAGAATGGATGGGCACTAGCAGATAGGTGTACTTTATAAGGTCCCTCAAGAAATCATTGGCACTGCAAAGTTGTTGCACTGCATGGCTTCAATCTGCTTCACAGTAGAAGTAAAAAAAAAAAATCTGCTTCACAGTACAGTACGTCACGTGCGGCTATATCTTGCTCGATGGCGTGGCCACTACCTGTTGTATCTAACGTTCACAGTTTAATTTCTATCTGTGGATTGAGCACAATTCTATAGAAGACTGACGTTCGACCAACGTCGCGGCGCCTCGGAGCCCAGCCTCCTCGCCGCCGGGAATGCAGAAGCAGGACATGGCGGAGAATCTCGAGTGCATCAAGCAGATGACCACTAACGTGGACACAGTTCAGGGCGCGTGCTGGCGGAGATCCTCGCCCGCAACGGTGACGCCGAGTACCTTACGAAATGTGGCCTCGCCGCCAGGGCCGCCGGCGCCGCAGCCGCCCGAGCCAGTTTCCAGGCCAAGGTGCCCATGGTGACGTACGAAGACGTGAAGCCGTACATCCTGCGCGTCGCCAACGGCGACACGTCTCCCGTCCTGACAGGCCCCGGCCACCCGATCTCCGAGTTCATCGTCACCACCGGCACTTCGGGCGGCGAGCCCAAGCTGATCCCCGCCGTAAAGGACGAGCTCGACCGCCGCATGCTGCTCCACAGCCTCGTCACGGCAGTCATGAACCAGTAACAATTCATCATGAGTTCATTCATCCTATAGATAATACGTACGTGCACCCGATTTAACTGAACACGCGATTGCAGGCACGTGCCAGGGCTCGACAAGGGCAGCGGCCTCTACTTCTACTTCGTCAAGCCGGCGACGACGACGCCGGGCGGCCTGCCAGCGCGTACTCTCACGACGAGCCTCGCGCACAGCGACCAGTTCAAGAGGCGCCCGCCGTACGACCCCAGCCAACGGCGGCCGTGCTGTGCGAGGACGCGTCCCAGAGCATGTACGCGCAGATGCTGTGCGGCCTGTGCCACCGCCACGCCGTGCTGCGCGTCGGCTCCGCGTTCGCGTACGGCCTCGTCCGCGCCGTCTCCTTCCTGCAGCGCAACTGGAGGCACCTCGCCGCCGACATCGAAGCCCGCAGGCTCGTAGGCAGCCAGCGCGTCACCGACCCCTCGGTGCATGCGGCCGTCAATGCCGTGCGCCGGCCGGACCCTGAGCTCGCGCACTTCATCCGGACGGAGTGCGGCGGCGGCGGCTCGGAGGAGGGTGACTGCTGGGCTGGCATCCTCACGCGCGTTTGGCCCAACGCCAAGTACCTGGACGCCATCAGCACCGGCACCATGGCGCAGTACGTCCCGACGCTCCGTTACGTCAGCGGCGGCGGCTTGCCCATCGTCTCCACCGTCTATGGGTCCTCGGAGTGCTACTTAGGCCTCAACCTCCAGCCGATGTCCGGCGGCGACCCAGCTACTTCGAGTTCCTGCCCACGGACACCATCATGCCCAACATGGCCTACTTCGAGTTCCTGCCCACGGACAACGACGCCACGGTGGCGAGCCAGCTCGTGGAGCACGCCCGCGTGGAGGCCGGGCGCGAGTACGAGCTGGTGGTGACCACCTACGCCGGGCTGTACCGGTACCGCGTCGGTGACGTCCTCCGCGTGCCAGGGTTCCACAACGCGGCGCCGGAGCTCCGGTTCGTGCGCCGCAGCAACGTGCGTGGTGCTGTCTGTCGACGTCGAGAGGACCGATGAGGCGGAGCTGCAGCGCGTGGTGGGACGCGCGTCGGCCGCGCTGCTCGTCCCGCGCGGCGCG